CAGGGTGTGGTTATCTCTATTGTTGTACACATTTTTCTACCAAATGTTGTCCTTCCCTTCACCTCTCTATTAATGTGCTTGGACACAGAGCTCTGTAAACAGCCAGCTTCTTTAGCAGTGACCTTTGGTGTCTTGCCCTCCTTGTGCAAGGTGTCGATGGTTGTCTTCTGGACAACTGTCAAGTCAGCAGTCATCCCCATGATTATGTAGCCTACAGAACTAGACTGAGAGACCATTTAAAGGTGTTTGCAGGTGTGACACCAGGGGTCTTTAATTTTGACCCTTTTCACAATGGCAGAATCAGAATCGGAGAGAATTTTATTGCCAGCGCTCCAGCGAACCAGAGCATAGGAACTTGACTCCACAGAACAGCCTGACCAAGGTTACACACACACACATATAGACAGAACAGATACAGGCAGACCACGAGAGCAGCCGTAACGGCGCTCATTTCAATAGATGAAGAGGGGATTACATGAGGAGAATTGGGGGAGGGGAAAAAAAGGCAGAACAGAGTTACTCCCGGCAGGGAGTAGCTCTACTATGCAAAAAACACCTCAACATGTAAGCACGAACGTCACAGTTCACAACATGAGACCCGGTGGGGGGGGGATCCTGGGATCCTGGTTTCCTCAGCGGGAGCAGCCCGTGTGTTGCTCAGCCAACTGTATCCACAGGTGGGTGGGAGGTCATGGGAAAGCACAGAGCACAATGAGTTCCTGCATTTTGATGACCTCGCTATAGACCCTTTTACTGTTTGTAAACAATATGACGTCAGCGAGAATGCGCGCGCAGCTTGGCAACAGAGAATGGCAGGCTTTATCAAGCTACGCTGCGGGGTTATCACCGGCAAATCTTGAATGTTATATTATTAAACTCACTTTAACGAATGTCAACAGACTCCCCGATCCTTGTGGCATTACGGAATGGGTGGAAGATGTAGGTGCGTGGCCAGATATCCAGTGGCCCGATATATATACGTTTTTAGTGGAGAGGCCCAGTAAGTACACACGTGAGAAGCTACGGGCATACAAATCATTAGATGCATACAACTATGATGTCTGTGGCCACGTACAGAAAGTAAAATACCACGACATAGACTCTGAGTTTTGCATCTTGAAGGCAGAAGTCCTTCCTAGCCAAAGACAAGGACACAAGACTGCTATGTACGAGGCTTGGGTCATAGTAAACAAACCAGAGAACTATGTCTTCACAGCCAATTTTACCTGCATGGCAGGGTGAGTATAGCATAGGTTTCTTTTTTTTAGCGTGCTCAGAGTACATTCGTGTTAATTTTAGAGAAATACAGTTTATACTAATATGCAGTGGGAAAATACAGATGAATAAGAATGAAATGTTAATTTGAAGCATGAAATAAAGCGTATAAATTTATATGTAATCTTAGTATATAATTACCTTACCTGATATAAAATGGGCGCTACAAACTCGAGCATTTCGGATCGTGTTTTCCATCCAGTTTTCTAGTGGCGGGCGGTGCGTTCCACCCCTGGGCCTTCAGTGATTTCCTATTCAGTCCAATCTAATTTAATACACCTTAAAATACCATCAATAGGACATCACAGCTGGAGAAACCTCACACACACACACACACACACACACACACACACACACACACACACACACACACACACACACACACACACACACACACACACACACACACACACACACACACACACACACACACACACACACACACACACACACACACACACACACACACCAGTGGCTGGTCAAGACACATAATTTCCAGAGTCTTTAAAATCAAACTCGCATTCCCAGTTGAGAGTAGGAAGCTGACCACGGATACTGTCAAATCTCAGAAATGAAAGACGGGTTTAAGAGATGAGACAATAAAATAAATAAGTAAAGAAAACATTATTTGCATTTGTTTTGGAGAAAATTGCACCGCGAAACAATTGAACATGTTGGCGCAGCTGCACACACCACGTCATTCACAATATAAATTGCATAGAAACAGAACACAGAATAATTTCATTTTGCCATTTTATTTCGTTACCATTTATTGATTATTAACAAAATAAAATGACAAAACATTAAAAAAATACGAATAAAATGTTTCTACTCACCAACATAAATGTCCAGCATGGATCTCCTCCTCTCCTGCTCGTTAGAAAATAAAATCCATCCTTCTTTCTTTCCTCAGGAAAACCTCAATGGCTCTGTACAGTTTATCTGTGCACTTCAGGTCCATGAGTGGATCCTTTTTCTACGGACATGGAGGCTGAAAGACATGTCTGCCCGGTCGTGTTTCTGGCGTACGTTTTAACGCGCTTTAATGCTACCAAATCCATCTGATGCGAGCAACGGGCGTTCCCAGCAGAATAACCTGCAGCGGTTCTCTGAAGCTGTTAGCCGTGGGTACCGTTCATAGTTGCTTGCCTGAAAATGACGAACAAATCCTTTCTCCTGCTGGGACAAGCCAGCTAGCGTTGGAGTCAGACGACCTGTTCTCACAAGATCCATTTTTTCTTGAAAGGTCCATCTGGAAAATGGTGTGGCAAGTTAATCTGCCACCAAGTCCGTCCCTTCTCCTCTTTCAGCCATCATGTGTTCAAAAACACACCGATAGCTGCCTATAGATACAAATGTCTGTGTTTAGTTTTGATATTTTGCTTCGTGCAGCTAGAAAAGTTCTAACTACTGCTTATCCAATCACAGGATGCGTTCATGTCAACTTTTGCGTGAGGCCAGCTAGCTGGCCCGGGCCAAGCTGACTCGTGAGCTGATTGGCTATCGCAACTAGATCGTCTCTGTTCACTTACAGCGGACAGTGGGCTTCTCGATTGATTCTGAAGGCCTAGAGCAGACTTAATCTGCCTGAAAACACAAGCTAGCTTAAATCTGATTGGATAACACCCAGCCTTGGTATTTTAACACTGGAAGCAGTGCGGCCAAGTGGGTATAATAGGATATAAAGAAAATAGACCAGTAAACATTTTTTTTATTTAAAAATAATTACCAAAGGAAAAAAAATACATTTACGCTTTTGAGTATGTTTAGGCCAGCAGAGAAGGCTTTGCTGGCCCTGACTGCCCACCACTGCAGTTTTCATCATCCCTTTTGATGGCCTGCAGCCACAGACGCCTCCGATTTTGTTGAAATGGATGTGCTCCCTTTGGAATTCTGTAAAGTTTCAGTCCACTGCTTGAAGAGAAGCGATTCTGGCATCCATACACGCAACAACCCGACATTTTTATGTGCTCAGAACTTCAAAACAAAGGGTTTAAAACGCTGTTTTAGTATCGAGTGTGAATGAGGAAGCCTTCACTCTCGTTGCCAGGCTGCGCGCGCAACTTTTGATGACGTAGGTAGTAAAAGGGTCTATGCAGAGACCACAATCTGAAGGCGGGGGTGTGGGGGGGGGGGTGGGGGGGGTAGGTCGGGTTTTCACAGCATCTGTCTGCATTCCTTCCATCGTGGGGGTTGTTGCACGCAATTCCAAGGCTGCTATGGCGTCAGATTGGATAAGAGGACTTTGTTTGGGTCAGGCAGAGATAATTGCACAATATCTCAAAATATACTGAATTTAGGATTTTCATTAGTTACCAGTTATAATCATCAAAATTAAAGAAATAAACATTTGAAACATATCAGTCTGTGTGGAGAAGAAAAAACTCGGTGATGTTTTTTCTTCTTGGGAAGGGCTCCACTGGGGGGTCCCCCAGGGATCGATCCTTGGTCCTCTTTTGTTTGCCATTTATTTGCTTCCTCTGGGGTCAATCTGTCGTAAACATGGCCTAGCGTTCCATCTCTATGCCGATGATTGCCAGATTTACTCTCCATTGTGTCAGGAGAAAGGTCTCTCTATCCAGTCCTCTGTGTCCTGTCTTAATGAGGTGAAGTCTTGGCTAATGGCCAACTATCTAGATCTGAATTAGGGAAAGACAGAGCTCATTGTTTTTCACCCCAACAACAGGGCTGTGGGTTGTTATGTTGATCTTGGCCCTCTTTCTCCCTACTCAAAACCAGTTGTCACCAGTCTGGGGTTAAAAGTGACGCTGGACTTAAAATTTGATGCTCACATCAACTCTGTGATCCAGTCCAGTTTCTTTCATCTGAGACGCCTTGCAAAAATCAAGCATATGCTGTCAACAGCCCACTTGGAGAGGGTACTCCATACTTTTGTAATTTCTAGGCTTGATTACTGAAACTCTCTATATGCCGGACTAGGTCAATCATTATTGCGCCGCCTACAGGTTGTGCAGAACAGCGCAGCCAGGTTTCTGACTGGGACCAGGAAACGGGACCACATCAGTCCAGTTCTGGCCTCCCTGCACTGGCTTCCGGTTTGTTATCGTTCACACTTTAAACTCCTTGTCTTTGTTTACAATTTCTTCCAGGGTAGTGCTCCCCCCTATCTGGCCACGCTCCTGAACAGACATTCCCCATCACGCGCTCTGCGCTCTTCTGAACAAGGCCTGCTCGCTGTCCTTCGTTCTAGGTTTCGTACTCGTGGGGACCGGGCTTTCTCAGTCCTAGCACCGTCACTATGGAACCAGTTGCCACCCTCAGTTAGGCTTCCCCCATCTCTGCCAGTCTTTAAGAGGTGCCTAAAAACCCACCTCCTCCGCTTGGCGTTCCCTGAATGTGTTTGAATTAGGCCCTCTTTAATGTAGATTTTAATTCCCTGCTTTCATTGGTCTCTTTATCCCTTGTTTTACCCATTTGTTTTCTACGTTAATGCTTTTACCTGTTTTTCTCATGTACCGTGTTCAGCGCCTTGGGCTTCCCGACAGGGTCATGGAAGGCACTTTATAAATAAAGCTTTGATTTGATTGATTTGTGTGTAACAAACGGATATAATAAACAAGTTTCACTTTTTGAATGGAATTACTGAAATAAATCATTGTTGTCACGATAATCTAAGTTTATGACCGGCAACTGTAATTGACAATATTCTAGAATTTACAGAAAGTTCACTTTGATTTTTAACATTTAGGTTTTTCTGTCTTTAGGTTGGATGAGTCTTATACAGTGAAAGTGGCGGACTTCGGCATGGCCAGGGATGTCTTTGATAAGGAGTATTACAGTATTCAGGACCACAGAAAGGCTAAACTACCAGTCAAGTGGATGGCCATTGAGAGTCTGCAAACACAGAAATTCACCACCAAGTCAGATGTGGTGCGCAGCACAGACTAGCACTACAGTAGTGGCAGTGTTCATGAGAGTGCACGTTTACATGTGCTGCTGTGCTCCTAACATAGTGGTCCTTTGGTGTGTTGATGTGGGAGATGCTGACCAGAGGAGCGAGCCCCTACCCAGAAGTAGACCCTTATGACATCACACATTACCTAATGAAGGGCAGGAGGCTTCCACAGCCACAGTATTGCCCCGACCCACTGTAAGTAGATCAGAACCAGACTTAAATCTACTGATTTAAAATGTTTCTGTGATAATTCAGTCACACGGGTACAGAGCAAAGTCCAAACTGGAATAACAAACTGGTAAAACGGTCACCCAGTAGTAGTAAATTGTCCACTACTCTCTGTTCCAACATGGTTGAGCAATGTCATTTTGAAGTTAATATATACATACCTACAACACACACTCACACACACACACACACACACACACACGCACGCATGCACGCACGCACACACACACACACACACACGCGCGCACGCACACGCACACACACGCGCGCACACACACAAATGGGTCACAGGTTAATAGATAACTGTTGCAACAGGAGATGTGCTTGGCTCTTTATTTGACTTTATTGGATTCTAACCTGGAGGAAGACGAGGATCTAGAGCCTGAGTTTGTAGTTCAGTTATCTTGGTACACTCTCAGCATGGAAAATATCATTCCCAGTATCTAATTCCTGTTGTGCGAATCACTTTTCTCAAGATAAATCCAAAACAAGCTTTAGCTTTTCAGGGTTGAATTTTTTAAATAAAATTGTTAAAATTCAAATTCAAAGATACTTCATTAATCCCAGAGGGAAATTAGAGTTTCAGTGCACACAATTCAGAGATCAGACATACACGGGCAAAGTCACATGACAAGAATTGGCGACTGTGATCATTCGCAACCCAAGTTGCGTTGCCTTAATAGAGATCAGAGGGTTTATATGAGGATTGAGTCAGGTGGAGGAGGGAGGGCAGCTTTGCTATGCAAAAAACACCTAAGACAGAAATGCAATGGACTTCAGACACAACACAACACAAATATCCACTAGGTGGGGTGGTAGGGTTTGGGACTCTCCACACATCAGTGAATGCAGCCGTGATAAGCAGTGCTCGTCACCTCAGTCTGGACAGGGGGAGGAGGTCGTTGGGTTTAGAGGGCACAGTGACTCCTGGAACGATTCAGCGGCCTTCACAGCTCGCAGTCCCGCCCAGGCTGTGATAGGGAGACAGAGTATCCATGGCGACAACAGCATTCCACATTTCTTCTGGGGGGGGGGGGGGTCATTCGTTTCAGCCTCACAGGATCAAGGGCACCAGATTCAGAAAAGAAATTGTTTTGGGGCCAGACAGATGATTTCTTCTCTGTCTTAAGAGTTCCGCTGGTCCTCAACCTCTCAAAATCCAATAATGGCATAATTAATCTATCCCAATCCGTGCTGATTCGTCCACTCGCTCCTTGATCACATCCATCTTTTGTGCCAACACATGAATCTCAGCCAAAGTTCCAAGTTTATGACTCATCTCGACAATTATATGAGTCTGTGCATTCACAGCGTTAAGCAATAATATAGATGTGTGTCTCTTTTCCAGTTAGCTGGATAAAAGTGAGGATCTTCATCAGTAAATCTAAGGGTTAAAACTTTACAGAAAGCTCACTAAACGAGCAGCAGACAATACTGGTGCAAAAGGCAGTAACTGTGTTTATCATTGTGATCATGTCCCAAACCACTGGTCCATCATGCCAAGCTGTACAGAAAAGAAACATCTTCTCCACATTTGTTGTATTAATTGATATGCATGATGTTGTGTTTTGAAAAATAAATGCTATTGTTACAGGTCAATAGACTCGGTCTTCTCTTTATCCTCTAGGTACCGCATCCTGCTCCAGTGCTGGGACCCTGATCCAGAGCTGAGGCCCACCTTTGCCACACTGGTGCTGGCTGTGTCCACCATCCTGTCAGGCCTTGAGGGAGAACACTACATCAGTCTGAACATCACCTACGTGAACCTGGACCAGCCACGACCTTACCCTGCTCTCACCGAGTCCGCTGATGAGTTTGACTCGACAGATGTGGAAGACTCCGACTCTTCCTGAAGGAACAAAAATGTGACTCATCTGTGTCACACTCAGCACCGTTCACAGCAAAAAGTAAAAACAAAGCTACTGGTAACTGTTTGAGTTCATAAACCAGATTGTAAGATGACAAAATCACCCTACCAATACCAAAAATAACCATTAATTATTAAATATACTAAACAAAGGACATCTTAATTCCAATATTCAGTAAAATATGAAACAGTAGAAAACAAAGCATCTTAAGACAGTATTACCAATTTAGCCAACATCTGGTTCTAGCAGATCTTTACACTTGTTAGGTCAGAATTTACTTTTGATCCTGGAGACCAGAACATCGTCACCCTAATGAAGATCTTTCAAACATCATTAAACCATCAATCCTGAAAGATTTCAAACCGTTCTCCTAAGAGAGAGAGAGGCCTTGAAGGGATATTTGGTGTTACTCGTTGCAGAAAGCTGTCTGAATGGTCTCAGTTTGGAGAAAACTGAGGATTAACATGCTAACGGCTAGTTTCAATGCAAATTGTTATTCTCCCATTTTAAAAGAGCTCCAATCTACAAACACGACAGCTGATACAAATGCTTTTGAATCCTCACACATCCAATAATGTTGAATCACAGTTAATCACATGGAACCGTGTTATTAAAGGGACAGCAGTGGCTAACAGAATAGCCCTCATTAGCTTGTCAGACCCACTTTCAAGATGGATTTTGATGTATTTGAAGTTCATGTGAATATTCAAACCTCCATCATCAATTACGTATTACTGTGTTACTATATTAGAAGTATAATGAAATCCATGCTGAAGGTATCCCAGCATGCACTGGAAGAGTTATGTTTAGCTACCGATGTGCTAAACAATAACCAAAGAATTCCATAAAAGTACGAATCATGTAGAACAACTGACTGAGTCTGGAATTTTCTTCCAACTGTTACCTAAACTGTTGAGAAATGAGCAGTTTTAAATCAGAACTATCCACTTTGGTTTTAGCTGCATTCAGACTAGCAGTTAGCCCGTCAGTCCTGTCAGACGTAAGTTTTTATTCTCACACCTGCTTGCTGATGCTCCTGATCAACTCTGCTCTGACGCAGTCCCGATCCCACAGCTGGATTCTGGGAGACGTCCTGGAGCTGCTGGGTGTCCTGAAGCCGATGCCAACCGCCATCACCAGGAAAGGCAAAGAAGGTTCGTCAATTACGCATCAGTTTGCTACGGTGGCTCCTTAAGTCCCTGTTTTTGTACAATCTATCATCAATGTCCTTCTCTAAAACCTTAAAAAATGTACATAAACTAGTTTTTGTTCTGTCACTAGTAACACCCCAGCCTGAACTCAGAGTTAATCTGTTCCCACCCAGGTTTAAGACCCCTACAGTGTTTTCTACCTGATGATCTGCTAATAATACACTTAAAATCCCTCAAAATCTTAAACTTCCTGCAAAAACGAGTGATTTGCTTTTGGTTCTCTAATGATTATTTTGTATACGTCGTATAAAACTTCTGGTGGTTACATTTCTGACATAAACAATGTCAATAAATATTTATTTGTTTATACAGTTTTTCTCACCTTGTGAACTTTGAGAAATTGTGACGTTTTAGACAAACTTGTAAGCATTTTGTCATTTGCACATCAGTTGTATTTTGTGGTCCGTGCTTTTGTCCTGGTTGTCATGTGTTGTTACTGTACCACATTAAAGTCACCGAGTCATTTTCCTGTTGTCCACCAGAGGTCAGTGTTTTATGAGAATTGTATGGCTTATTCAGCCCTGCATCACAGATGCTCACAGGAACACACAGCACTTAGGACAAACAGAATAAAGGAAAATGGTGAAGTTGTGATTTTCTTCTTTACTTCACTTTAACTAGCTGGTCAGCTGCTTGGTGCAGAATGTGTTAGTCTCTAAAGCTCATTCAGATCTGCTGAACCTCAGTTAATCTCAATCTCTACACTTTCCAAGTCAGTTGTAACTGCAATCATTGTGAACACACACACACACACACACACACACACACACACACACACACACACACACACACACACACACACACAGAGAGAGAAATGCATTTACATGTGAGTGTGCGTGTGCGCGCGCGCGTGTGTGTGTGTGTGTGTGTGTGTGTGTGTGTGTGTGTGTGTGTGTGTGTGTGTGTCTGCTCTGTCTTCTCCATCCCCAGTGAGTCGTGGAGGATGGCTGCTTATACTGAGCCAGGATTCTCTGGAGGTTTCTTCCTGTTAAAAGGGAGTTTTCCTCTCCACTGTCGCTTTATGCTTGCTTAGTATGAGGATTGCTGTATAGTCACTGCCACTAGTCAGTGACTTGATGCAATTTGCTGGGTTCCTTTTATAGGAAAAATTTTTTCTGATTGGTTTAATGAACTGTCCTGAATTGGAATGTTTATTATGTGAAGTGCCTTGAGACGACTCTTGTCGTGATTTGGCGCTATATAAATAAACTTGAATTGAATTGAATTTACCTATTTGATTTGGGGAGACCAAAATGCAAATAATGAGCTGCTGACCCTTTAATACAACTCTGCACCCTTTTAGGATTTTAAATGTAACTTAAAAATAATCAAACTCTGAATTTGATAAATTGTCATTTTCGGAAGGTCACTTAGAAATTCATGTTACTGCTATTGTTTGTCTTTTAACAAGTACAGGCTTAGAGCTGTGCACACATCACACATGCAGTTGTGTCCAAATCTGGAGGTTTTACCAACGCCTCTCTGTTTTTGTTTGTCTACTGCTGCACCGGAGGAACTAAAACCCGAGACCTGTTTCACGCTAACATCAAGGGTGCATGCAGCTCCTCTGTGAGACTTGCTCTTTGCAAAGTTGATCAGATGAGGAGATGGTCACAGGAAGTAGGATTCGGGGAGGTTTTGATTCTGCAGACTGGGATGCATTCGGCGAGCTACGTGGAGATGACATCAGTGCCATGACTGACATGGACACCATCATCCCCACCAGAACAATGTGGTGCTACCCCTGTAACAAACACTGGACCAGTGGTGACCTGAAAGGACTGTTTAACAATAAAAAAGAGCCTTCGGGGAGCGAGGGAATATTTGATGAATACTGATGCTACTCAAAGACAAGATATGAAATAAGGAGATGCACAGGTGAGACATGTTGAAAGGGCTCTGCCGCGGCACAAGAGACTGGCCTTGATGCATAGACCACTTTACTCATATTTTAAACACTTTTACCAATGTCTCTAGTAGCAACAAGTACATCCTCAGGAGAAAAAAATAGCTCTGGTGCACCTGTTTGAGGACAAATGCGTAAGCTGGAGTAGAGAGTGGAAGAACACAAGAGGATTTGGACCCAATACCACCCCAAAATCATGAGCACCCCAAGATCATGGTCCAACCATGATCCAATCCAGTCCAAGTTTATTTGTAGAGCACATTTAAACAGCATGAAGCTGACCAAAGAGCTGAACACAGGAATTAACAAGTGAAACAGCACAGAAAAGCATGAATAAAAGCATATGGCCGATCAATTATAAAATATGCTGTACTGGATCCTAACAAGGCCAAATACAGGCGTGATACAAATACAAGCTTTAGATTCAGTGCAAAACTAGAGAACTGTAATACAGGCAGAAACAAACCCACATCTCCAAGGTTTCAAGGTTTCTAAAAGGTTTCATCTCCTTTAGCTCTTCGTTGTACAGAGTGATAAGGGCTTGTTGTTACCTTTGTATCGCCCTCTGCTGCCCGCGCCTTCTCCGCTGATCACCGTGTCCCATGAGTGGTCCAGGGTGTAAACTTCTTCTTCCCTGTTAATGGTCCTGGGTCCGCGTCTCGTTATCTCTTTTGCTTCTTTGATCCATTTTCAGAATTTCTGTTGCTTTGTGTTTATGATCCGTGTGTTCTCCCCGTCCATTACAGGATTTTCTCTTGTACGGTGGTCTGTTACGGCAAATTTCTTTGTGATTTCTGCTTCTTTGCTGCTCTTGTGTGTCTTCGACTTGTTTCCTTCTCACACTCCTCTTTTTGTTGTTTTTCGTGTGTTGAGTTGGCGTCCCGTTTCTCCTATGTGTGTTATTGTAGAGTTTGCATGTTATTTCATACACGACTCCCCATTTTTGCGCTGACAATATCTTGTCTTTTGGGTGCACTAATCTTTTCCTAACAGTCTTATACGGGGTTGAAATTTATGGAAATAAAATTACAAAAAGTAAAATACAATAAAATTAAATAAAAATGTTGTCAAATACCCTAAAATGAGAAAAATAAAATAATTTAGTTTTGGCGCTCCTTTTGCTTCCTCCTGTCTGTCTCCAGTTGGAGCGACTAAAACCAGAACAAGGCAGCAGGACCAGATGGTTCTCTCCAGCGCCTAAGAAATCTCATCCTCCTGTCTTTAAATGCTATAGACCTGCCACCCCAACATCACACATCACGGACGTTCTCCAGAGATGGCTGGTCCTGAACGAATAAACAATCAGATGACGTTGGTTGAAGTAGAAGACATCACCACATTCCAGTTTTGTCAAGTGACGGGCAGTGATGTGGCGTGGCGTTCACTAAGGAATAAAATGTTCTGAATGATGAGAACTGAGTCCTTGTAGAGAACGTTCTCATCAGGAAGTTTCAACAACACCAAAACATCAAAAACCCAACAACGGACCCCCCAGTGTTAATTCTAATGGAGGTTTGAACCAGCAACCCAGTGATGACAGGGCAAACCCTTACCTCCTGTACATCTTACACCTCACCGCTACTGAAACTACAATGCAGCAGTACAAGCCTGCCCTTTACAGTTCACACAAGAGGTATTTTGAGTATGTATACAAAATTAGACTTTAATTTGAGTCGCTCCACCTTTAGGCCACAACACAATGAATACATTGCATCACACACACAGTACCTCCCAATATGGGAGAGGGATGATTGAATCTAAACATTGCAGTTTCATCTGGTGTTTCCTGCAGACAGTACAAAACATGACATTCAGTAATCAATAGGGAAACTCTTAGCCATAAATATTATTTGGTGTATAGGCTAGATGAAATAAAGAAGGACAATTGCAGACATGTTTAAAAATACAAGTTCTTGAAATAAAGGAATGCTTTAGTGCCTTTTGGTGGAGGTGCATTTGGTCCCAGAATGACTCCATGAGGAGTCTTTTCCACAAGCACAAGCCTCTAAAGAGACGGACCGTACAAGTTCATGTCCAAAACAGCAGTGTGCTTTATCTGCATGGTCCCTGTTGTCCTCTGCTTTGGCATTTTAATGCAGCACCAGATCAATAATATTCCAGTGAAGCAGCACCCACAACTGTTCCTGCATTAATCGGGTGCCTGCTTAGGGTGAGGAACGCCCATCCCTGGGTCTGTGTTGGATCTAGGCTTCATAGGAGGCCTGGGGTTTGAGGTGGGCCTTCTCCATGGTGGTGCCATATGGATCTGACCTTTTGAAGAAACCCATCTGGAATAAAATATAGAAAAATTATTTACAAACCAAGCAGAGCAAAACTAAAAATTCATGGGTGCCTGTTTGGGACATAAAGACACCTAATTAATTGAACTTAGATGTTTGGAGGCTGCATGGTTGCTAAGATGGTAACACTGATGCTTTTCAGTGAGAAGGTCACAGTTTTGAATCCCGGCAGTGGCAAAGTTAGCATGTTCTCCACATGAATATGTGGGTTACACACCATGATTAAAATCATGCATGTCAGGTTATTTGGAGACTCTATTGTCCCTAGGTGTGAAAGAGTGTGTGGCTGTGCCTGTGATGGACTGGTAACCTGTCCTTGGCGTCCCCGCCTCTTGCCTGATTACGTCTGGAGCTAGACACCAGGGATCTCATTTGACATTGCGTAGAATCCTTACTAAAACCGTGCTTAGGCTCAGCAAAAAAAAATGTACTTACGCCAAGTAGGTTTGTGACCTATAAAACATGGAGTACACACAGCTGCATGCAATTTCTGCTTTATAAACCACACTATACCTACAAAGGTTCTCAGGTGTTTCTGGATCACATCCCGCCCTCAACACGCCCACTTTCTGCCATAAATGGTCAATGCAAAGGGGCTTGTGGATCTCTTGCTGGTGAGGTGTGCGCACAAAGCGGTACAAGTGCTAATGCTGCTGGATTTCATAATTGTATCCTTCTCAGCAGCAGCACTGCAGGTGCTCTCCGTGTCCAAAATGTGCGTAAGCCAGGTCCTTAGTCAACTTAAAGTTGTGCACCCTTTCAGCTACGTTTTCTTTTATATATCCCAAAGCCCCCCAATTTTATTTGCACCTTAGGCCAGGACAAGCGCGTGTACACACACAGGTGCTCACATGGTGCTCTCATGCAGTCTTAAGGCTAAATGCACCTGTGATTTATTATCGTGTGATTGTTCAGTTAAACAATGTTGATTGTATATTTCTTCATCAAGTTGACGCAGTGATAGCTTGATCTTGTTGTATTGTTGTTGTGTCCCATTTTTTTTAAATTAATTTTTGTCTCTATTTCTGCAGGTCTAGAAGCAGACTCTTGTTCATTATTGTTTATTTTTGTGGACCCCCCACACACACACCTTTTGTCTCTTCCTTTCTCTTTCACCTCTGACTCTGTGTCTGGTCGGAAGTAAAAAGCATTCAAAAATAACAACAATAAAGTTTTAAGTATCAGGCGTGAGATTAAAAGCAGACGCTTTGATGCTCCACCTGAGAGTAAATCTGTAAGGCTTGTTACCAGCATTCAGACATCAATTCTGTTTGCTTCACAGCCAGACAAGACATGGGGGGGATAAAAAATTAATCTCAAAGTTTGCGTGGAAAGTTGCTTACGCAGTTTTCCGACCCCGTTTTGTGCGTAAGCAAGCTTGATAAATGAGACCCCAGCTCCACATGACCCTACCGAGGAATAAGCATTTCTGATAATGAATGAGTGAATTAACATCTGGATAACTTTCCATTTGGGGTCAAAATTACTAATTTTAACCCAAACTGCCCACATGGAGGCTTACACACCTTATTAACAGTTTTTATGCTGTCAGTGATAACTCGTGATGTAATATTAGGTAAACTGTGCTACTTTGTTCTGTCTGATATTCACTTAGAACCAAACTAAACATGCAATATGCTACATTTGAAAGAGTTTTATTACCATAAGTACTTAGGGTGCAATGATAAATAATGGATGTGTTTTAACATAATTTCTTCTGGAGCCTGTTTGAGGAGGGGTCTGTCTGTTACCTTGTACAGCAGGTATATGAGCAGTGCCAGTAACAGCAGCCCAGCTAGAACAGCCAGGATGATGATCCAGACTGGAACTGAGAACTGACCATCTGGCTTGGCCCACATCACGGTAGTGACCACCTAGCAACAACAAAGCAGAATGGTTACCCTGAACTGACCTGGAATCCAGAATCTGACGCTTACATTGTCCTCTGATGTAACATTACTATTGTGTGATTTCTTTTAGGCTGGTCCGAGTAATACGGTTTGTCCCCACTTGTGTCTGACAGACTGGTGAATTGTGATAATACATGAATTTGACTTCCACATGAAAGGTTTTGAAACTGTGATTAAGAAACAGTCCAAAAATAAAACTGAGCAAAGTTACCTTTTTAGATCCTGATGGTTTGAATTTAGGAAGAATAGAGTATGACATCCTGTTCACCTTGTAGTGAACCAAACACTCCAGGGTGTACTGTTTGTGAGGTCTCTGTTGAAGAGGAAAGGCATCATCATCATCATCATAATCATCATCATCATAATCATCATCATCATCATCATCATCATCATCATCATCATCATCATCATCATCATCATAATCATCATCAATGTGAAATCAACGAATTAAAGCTCAATGCAGGGCTTTAACATTTAGGTCACTTTCATTGTGTTTTGTTTGTTTTTTCCAAACATCAACATTCAGAGACTTTCATGGCGTAGGTATTTAAAAGGTAGAGAGACATCAGGGGCAGTCCCATGAGATTGGCAGACTGGGGTGGTGATCCCCCATTTAAGAGTGGTGACCACAGGGTGCGTTTCAACTACAGGGGGATCAAACTCCTGAGTCTCCCTGGTAAAGTCTAATCAGGGGTTCGGGAGAGGAGGGTCTGTCGGGAAGTTCAACCTCAGATCTAGGGGGAGCATTTTCATCCTGACTGTGGAACACTGGGCCAGCTCTATACCCGTAGGGGGTCCTGGAGGGTGCATGGGAGTTTGCCCAACCAGTCTACATGAGTTTTGTGAGTCTGGATAGTTCCATGTGAGAGTTGGACTCTGCCAAGGCTGCCTTTTGTCACAGATTATTTTTATAACTTTTATGAACAGGACTTCTTGGTGCAACCAGGGTGTTGAGGGGATCAGTTTTGGTGGCCTGAGGATCGGGTCTCTCATTTTAGCAGATGATGTGGTCCTGTTGGCTTCATCAGAACATGATCTCCAGCTTTTGCTGGAGCGGTTCGCAGCCGAGTGTGAAGCAGCTGGGATGAGAATCAGCAAACACAAGACCATGGTCTCAGATCGGAAAAAGGTAGAAGGCCTTCTCCAGGTCCTGCCCTAAGTGGAGGAGTTTAGGTATCTCGGGGTCTTGTTCATATGTGAGGGAAAGATGGAGCGGGAGATCGATAGGCAGATTGGTGCTGCATCTGCAGTGATGCGAGCGTTGTACTGATCTGTCGTGGTGAGGAGAGAGCTGAGACGGAAGGTGAAACTCTCGATTTACTGGTCGATCTACGTTCCTACCCTCACCTACGGTCATGAGCTTTGGGTAGTGACTGAAAGAACAAGATCACGGATACAAGCGGCCGAAATTAGCTTTCTCCGCAGGGTTTATGGGCCCTACCTTAGAGATAGGGTGAGAAGCTTGGTCATCCGGGAGGGGTTCAGAATAGACCTGCTGTTCCTCCATATTGAGAGGAGCCAGCTGAGGTGGCTCGGGCATCTGGTCAGGACGCCTCCCTGGTGAGGTTTTCTGGGCATGTCCAACTAGGAAGAGACCTAAAGGTGGACCCAGGACATGCTGGAGGGACTATGTCTCTCGGCAGTCAGGGAACACCTTGGGATTCCCCCGGAGGAGCTGGCCCAAGTGGCTGGGGAGAGGGAAGTCTGGGCCTCTCTGCTCAAGGCTGATTTATATTTTTCTGTGTGGATTCATGCACACGCATTGACGGAGATGTTTTCCCATCGGACTTTGCAGCCATGTATCCGGCCTAACACAGTGTATCTACTGTTTACATTGTGTTTATGCATTCCAGAGATTTTTAACACAGACACATTTATCCTTCATTCTTCTCCAGGTCTTTATGTGCTCGCCACCTCCAAACCCAAGTTTGCCATCATTTCTGTCCACGAATAAAATGCTTGCTGCGTATCTTTGTATTCTTCCTCCTCTGTACTCCAGTCACGAGTCAATAAACCTTTGTCTTTTCTGTGAGACATTCTTCAATCTGCTTTGTGTCTGCAAGTCAATATCTGCAGCTCTCTCTTCCTTTTTTGAGGGGGCAATGGTGGGTGCTGCATTTTTGGTTCTTTTTAAAACACAGAAAAGTTTTATTTGACCTTGCTGACAGTTTCATTTACCGACTGCAAAACTTATTTTGGTAAAATAAACTGTCAACAAGGTAAAAAAAAAAACTTTTATGTGTTTTAAAAAGAACCAAAAATACAGTTAGAAACCAGCAAGAACATACCAAAAATGGTGGGTGCTGTTGGTGAATTTAAAGGAAGCGGCGTCTGACCAGTACCAAGCTTATGGATTTGCGTCATCTTTGAAGGATATTTAAAAAGCTGGGCATGTCACTGTCAGCCTCTGCGAGCCTATCAGAGAGCCCTTGTACTGATGCAGAATGGCGTTGTGTGTTTCCATATCCACGCAGGCTTTAGGCTGCTGCCCCCGCGATCTGACGCCATACAAGTGTAAGAGAATGGATGGGTGGATGGATGGAGGCAGTTAGAAGTATACATTTATTTAGCCCTATTTACCCCTTCCAACAAAAAAATACACCTTTATGTCAATGACAATTTTTTTTACTTTACTAAAAACTTACTACAAAGATAAAATAAAATTCAGAGAAAAATCAATAACTGTGTGAGGTCAGCTCCACTTGAACTCCACCAGGGGGCAGTAAGTAGATGGTTTAATGCTGTTTTCCTGTTAAGTCCCAGTCTGGATGTTCTTCGCTGCCTCGAGCTGCAAAAGCAACAGAACTGCTGAGCATCTGGACTCACCTCCATGAAGGTCTCAGCCCAGAGCCTGGAGCGTACAGTCAGGATGGTGCTGCCTCCTCTCTGCAGCAGCCCCACATTACAGCTCAGCTCCCAGCATTCCACAGCGCCACATGTCTACAGAGACTTAGATTTAGCAATAATCACTACACAGATAAAAGTAAAACTATCATAAAGCCTTCTCTACATGCACGTCTACAACTGATGAACCTTTGGTGTCAGCCCAGTGTAAGGTGGCCATCACCTCCAGACTGCACCTGTATGGCTTTAACTCAGAGTCAGAGTTACACTGATACTATGCTCGGATTTGATTTGGTGGCAGCTGCGAGTCTTTTAAAGTCTCAGTTCAGAACATCACATTAAACTCAAGATTTGACTAAAGAAGTTTTAACTCCATCAGTTATTAAAATGAAAATGATCTCCGCTTTGGCATGAAAGGCAGCAGGTGAGCATCAGGCTTTTTTGGCCTTCAAACAGAAGCTTAGCAGTTTTGGCTTGCTTTTAGCACCCCCTAGTGTCTGTTTTAATTCCCTGTCATAAAAAACAAAACTGAAACTTCTCGCTGTGCATTTGTCTTTTTAACACCTTAATCTAACAGCTGAAATGTTTCCTCAGCCGTCATCAGTTTCTAGAGGAGCGGTTCATCACTAAATCAAACAAATCAGCTGTGTTCACATGCAAGAATCGTTTCTCTGAGCTCTCGCAACTCAGACAACTTCCATTGTTGACTCTTGTTTAACTCCTGTTGAGGTTGGACGTTCATTTTATTTTTTATTTTTATCAGATAAATGTTGTCTTTGTTTCTTCTGAGGCTCCACAGTGATAAACACATGACAATAAATGCAAGAGACATAGCTCATTTGTTCTGAGGTGTAAACGTGGATTGCCGTAATGTGAGACTTTGTGATACTTCAGGTCGGCGACCCGGAGCGGCTGAAGCTGCAAACATGGTTTCCTGCTCACAAGGGGCGGAGGGGGCCGAGCCACGGTGGCAGTTTTACCATTAGGCATAGGTCGGCGGCTGGGGCCCCCTTATGTTGGGGGCCCGCCTAGCCCTGACTGCTGGCACCCCTCTGTTAATGCCACAATGGACTATTCCATTAAGACGTTGATGCAGAAACAGGAAGTGATTGGTAGTCAATCCACTCCAATCCAGTTGGTGGCGGGAATGCACCAAATTATTATTTGCCAAGTGCCATAAGACCACAAATAGGAAGAAGAAGAAGAAGAGAAAGCAGAAGAAGAAGAAGAAGAAGAAGAAGAAGATAGGCGGGAGCGTTCGTAACAAACTGGAAGCGATAGTCAAAACATTAAACATAAAATGGAGTTATCCTAGTGGCTCCAATAAGAGAAAGAAGCAGCTTGTTTCATAAAAGCTTTTATCTTCACTTCCGAAAGTGACATCGTTTTTTCAATGTAAACATCAAAATGAAGCAGAAAAGGAAAGACAATGGAAAATGTTTAAAGGGAGGAAAACATAGACCAAATTGAAAAATAAATTAAAAAATAAAGGACAAAGCACAGGAGCACTGACGGGAAGAAGAAAGCAGAGCAAATATTGAAAGCACTCAAAGGGAGAGAAAGACAGGAAAAAAGAGGAGGACTAATAAAAAGGGAAAATAATTCATGGCAGAAGAGGGGAGAGTCATGGTCTGCGTTTGTCTTCCACATGTGTCTCCTTATGTCCTCCATCCCTCTTTAGATTCCTCCCTTCTGTGTCTCACAGCGCCCTCATGTGTCCTTTGTCAGTGTCTCTATATGGTGTCCTCTGTTTGTAGACCTTTTTATCATCCCCTCAGGTCCAGTGTTCATTTAGCTATCCTCTGTGCCCCAAGTTGCAGCTCCAGCCTCTTGTTCCCCCCAGCCAAGATAGATGTGTGTGTGTGTGTGCGTGTGTGTGTATCTTGCCCAGTTCAGGTGTGAAGGCGTAGGTGTTTATGTGTGTGTGTGTGTGTGTGTGTGTGTGTATTTTTTGGTGTCCGTGTATTTGTGTGTGTGTGCGTATCTTGCCCAGTTCAGTGTGAATGTGTAGGTGTGTGTGTGTGTGTGTGTGTGGGTGAGCCCTTCCCTCTGACATTTCCCTTCCAGGTCCTGTGCTTTCTTGGTACCCTCTTAGCCACACCCCTGTAGTTTCCTTCTGTAGTGTCTTCCTTTAGTGTCAGCTTCTCCTTAGTATTTAGTTATGTTCATGCTTTCTGGTTTTTGTTTTTCCCTTAGGTCATTTTCCTTTGTTACAGCTTTCAGTTTTTTCTTCCTCCTCCCTGATTTGGTAATTGTATTCACCTGTTCCTCTCCACGCACCTGCAATTCATCTCCCTCATCTTCCCAATCTATATAAGCCCGGTCTTGTCTCTGTCTTTTGTCGGTCCATTAATGTTGTGTTTATTCTGTCAGTCTCGTCTCTTTTGGATTACCAGTGTTCTTTGTCCCCTTGGATTCTCTAGAGTTTTGGATCTCCAGAGCTTTATCTGGAATTTTGGACTACTGGCTCCCTGTCTTGGGATTATTATTTTTTTGTTTCACCTTAAAATAAAGGATTTTTCTTATCTTCATCCCTGCCTCCGTGTCATCCTGGGTACTGCATTTTGGGTCCACACCACCGTATCGTGACAGGGAGAGTTTCGCAAAACCAGTTAAATGTAAGATTATCGAAAATTTAGTGTAAGGGGGCTCCATGTCTGTGTTCGCCTTGGGCCCCCAAATTTCTAAATCCGCCACTGCTGAGGCATACTTCATTCACCCTGTAAAGGGTCATTTTAGCACATACTGGCTCAAGAAAATTATTTAAAAAGATGAAAAAGTTTCATAGTATGGCTTAAATTTACTAATGTTTTGATATCTATTCTTTTTTTTTCTCATAGAAATGCTGACTGGGCCAACATGTCTTTCTTCATACTGCTCTAAGTCAGAACTAACTCGGTTATGATTAAGCAGTGAGGGATGAATGATCAGAAATGTCTTCATGTGGTTGGATTCAACATTCTTCATCTGAATACCAACGGAGATGATGCAAGTCCTACCAACATGACTGTAAATCACCACAATAATTAACTCCACTTCATAAACAGTTACAGCAGACAGCGAGTGATGTGGCCCAGAACTCATTTCTGTTCCTGTTCCTGCTCCTGATAAAGTAATCTCATTACAATAATGTGTTTAGCACGGAGGGAGGAGCTGCAGCCTTTGGTTTCTGAGTCCAAAACCCCCTCCGTAGCGTCACATGCTAATAAAAACATAAAAACACCTAAAACATAAAAACAAACTAAGGAAATGAGGAAGAGTTTTGGTCTTGTACCTTCAAGCAGATGTTGAATAGAGATTTTTGTATCCATGCAATCAAAAATATAGAAGGCAGTTATTTGTGCTGCTTATAGATAAACTATTTAATGAACTGAAAAACAGAAACAGCTAGAGATTGGTCTCCACCCTGTTTCATGTAAAAACATTCTGGGTGTAGTTTGAACTCCAGGGCGCCTTAATTTAGATTGTAATCCAGAGATTACTGATGTGCACTGTCAAGATAAAGAGCAATTTAGAAATAAATACTTAAATATTTCATTAAACGGGATTTTTGGCATCTCGCTGACTTTACAGTTTGTCTTGGTCATGAAGGTGTTTTATAAGAAGCCCACTCACCAGGTTTCTTTGTTCACCAAGAGGATCTCGGTGCACCTCCCTCTTCTGGATGCGAAGCTCAGTGTTGGACTTAAGTGACTTTGGCCCATCTGCAGCTGGAGGCTGAAGCTGTGTGGCACAGCAGGTTCATTAACTAACAATCTGATGTGCAGGTCCAGAAGCAGACCAGGACGTTTTCTGTGTCCTCACCTTAAGTTTCAGTGCATTGAAGTTAGTCTCAGAGGAGCAGCTGAGCGGCCCCTTGCTGATCACCTCCACAGGGTAGAGCAGCGCATGGTCCTGGGCCCTCAGGGGACATTGTACCACTAAAGATGCCTGGCTCACTGAACTGGGGCCGTTGTTCACCAGCTGTCAGATGAAATATCGTGAGAGATATAACACACCACCTTTCGTCAAACTTTTTGACAGGTCTATTCTTTGACCTGTATGACCTTCCCCCCACCCCTGCATAAATCAAACTTGACAGGTGTATTGTTTAATGACCTTTATGCCCTTTACCCAACCCACCTTTCGTCAAACTTGACAGGTGCATTGTCTGTAGTCCCTATTGTGATATGATCTTTAACGACCCTATATGTCAAGATGATATTTATGTAATGGTGCATGAAGTCCCTTTTTGTGAAGATGCATAATGATGATCTGCTTTGATGTGCACCCTATATGTCAAGAAATGAATGTTGTGTAATGACGCATGAAGTCTCCTTTTGTCTGAACTATTTTAGTTACGCCTGATAACTGTTTTTGTGTTACCCCCTCCTTTCATACGTGAGAGCCCACAACCCTCCCTCCAGCCCTGCTTGGCTTTTCAAAAGCTCTGATCCATTTCAGCAGGCAGTGTCGGTTCACACACACACATACACACACACACACACCCACACACCAAATGACAGACAGAAACAACGGTTATAGAATTCTTTGTGATATTTTTAAACATAACCCTTCGTCCAATCATGTCGTTCCCATTCAAGATTTTTTTAAAAAAGAATAAAAGAATTTTTAAAGGAATTTAAAAATTAAAAAGTAAAGGAATTTTTTTCAGCCATCATTCTCAGAAACACATTGTGATATCAGATGAGTTTTACTCAGACACCACTTTCCAATGGTTTATCAATTTACCGCAATTGTTTTGTCCTTCGATGAAAATGACTGGGAGGAACTACCTCTTTCTCAATGACCACGCACGTCACCGCCACCACCCCCACCAAGCCCCCAAGATGTGTTCAGTCAGTTGGACAGAGCTCCAAATAAACTCAGTAAGTGATTTTTTTAATACGTAATTTAATAACATCCCTTTTCAGCTGAGAAATATCTTATTTCCCAGAAGGAGAAAAAGGGCACGCATACGAGCAGGAACTCCCCTCGCAACGATACGCCGGAAGTCAAGACTTTATCCCGCCCACACCTCCACGCGGCTGCGACGAGGGGGCGGCCTCGCAGCCAGACCAGCATCCGGTGACCAGCAGTTAACACGCTGCGCCGTACCGTCCCCCTGCTGCCGCGCAGAGACCCCGTAAGTCATCAAAAATAACGTTTTTATTAAAAGATGATGTTTAGTTCATACTCTCTCTTTTTTTCCATCCAGAATTACGTCAGAGGAGGAATCGCCGGCTAACTCGGCTTCAAAGAACAAACCAGATGAAAATGGCGTATCTGCTCCTTCAAATCAACTACAGACTCGTCAATGTAGTGAGAGATGTCCTGTCTCATTGAGGACACTACATTAATCTATTTGGATTAAAAGAATACCGATGATTTATTTTCTTCTTCATTCATTCATCAAGTTCATAGTAGGTTTTCTTTCTTTCTTTCTTTCTTTCTTTCTTTCTTTCTTTCTTTCTTTCTTTCTTTCTTTCTTTCTTTCTTTCTTTCACTGAAAATGCTGATTCGGCACTGGACTGGTTTGATTTAAGTGGACTTTCAGAAATGAGTGAAGAAGCTGGAAATTATGAGATTCTAGATCAAATTCTAGCCTACCAAGCCACTTCAAACGAGGTTGATGAAATTCTATTAAATTTAGACCCTCCATCTCCACAAGCTTTAGATGAAATTTTGAGGCAGACACAATCATAAGGTGTTAACCAACAGGGGGGAGGGAGGGTTAATCACACGTCCTCATCCAACGAAGCTTTTAACAGCGTGAAATTAGAGAGAGCGTCTCTTTTTCAATAAACCACGGAACCATAGACCCTGCAGATTTCTATATCAACGTTATGGATATATTAAATAGATTTGCTGAAAGGGGAGGTCAGATGGCTCGCGCAAATGATAGGATTCAGTTTGAAATCAAATGATAGTATTCATTTTGAAATCAACACTCAGCATTCAAATCACCACATTAACTTTAATTATGATGGCTCAAATATGAGGCAGAATTTTCAGCAATTATTTGACCAATTAGTACAATCAAATGAAGCGCTAGCGGCTGAAAATTATTTAAATTTCAGACTGCATGTGGTTAATAATCCATCTGGTGCTGGGAAACGAAAAATTGATAGTATTCTTGATCAGGAATTAGTCAAAAAAAAGCGTATTCATCTCATTTAACCACCGGAGTCCGATCAGACCTTGTGTTTTGGGTTAGGGTTTGGTTCCATTTAAAAATTATGTCTCAATTCATTGTGGAGAAAATTCAGACAGCGAGATGAGCTTTTCCAGACAGTTTTCATTAAAATTCCTAATCAATTTTTTGACCTTTTGTTTTCAGGCAAATACAAAGTTAAATTCTTCGATTTCATCACCTCTGAAGTCATTCTGGTGCAGCACAGCTTGAATGACAGATGCGTGTTACCTCCTGGCAAGAGCAACAATGTATTTCTTGCTGCTTTGACAACAGTGCAGCACATGCACGTCTCAAATTATTAAAATAATTGATTCAATTGGAAAACTGCGTGCTGCACTTTGACACAGATTCCATAATTTATTCAGTGAAACCGGGTGAGGCTGTTCTACCCGCAGGTTCATATCTGGGCGATTTGACGGACGAACTCGCAGGCGATTCCATTGAAGAGTTTGCAGCATCAGAACCCAAAAGCTATGCTTACATAACCCGGGACCGCCAGCAGGTGGTGGTAAAGGCTAAGGGTATCACTCAGTCTTACATCTCATCTAATCAGATTAATTTTGACAGCTTGGCTCAGTTGGTGGAGGGGTACATCGGTGGAGAGAGGGGGGAGTTTCTGCAAGCACAGCAGGACACCATCAGGAGGAATAAAGAAGGGTTCATTCTCTCAAATGCTTCATTTGTGAAAAAGTTTTGTGTGATTTTTGATAAACGTAGGTTATATCCTGACGGAACAACCCTGCCTTTTGGTTATTAGATTAGTGAAAATGGAAACTCATTTTGATCCCAGACTGAAAATACCTTTTAGTGCACTCATTGCAGGTCCGTCAGGCTGTGGAAAAACCATTTTTGTAAAAAGTATTTTGGAAACTTGTCTGGAATGTTTGACTGAAATGCCACAAAATATAAATTGTTTTTTTATTTCTTATCAGAAAATGTATGATGATCTGAAACTTTGTAATAAAAATATTGGATTTTTTCAAGGACTACCTTATTCATTCGATGACTACGAAATGTTCCCATCTGAGCAATGTCACTTGATTACTTTGAACGATCTGACAGGCAACCATCCTGAAGTGCTAAAGTTATTTACAGAGTACAGACACCACAGGAATATGAGTGTTTTTACTCACACAAAACCTCTTTCATCAAGGGAAAAATAGCAGATCAATCAGTTTAAATACTAATTATTTTATTCTGTTTAAAAATCCACGAGATAAATAGCAAATAAATGTTTTAGCTAATCAAATCTACCCTACTCAGAAAATATATTTTTTGGAAAGTCATCAAGTTCATCACGGTTATTTAACAGTGGATTTGAAACCGGAAACACCAGAGCGTCTAAGAATGCGCAGCGGAGCACTTCCGGGTCAGATGACAGTGGTCTATTTGCCTAAAATAGAGCAATGTCGACCAGGATAAAACGCAACACCAGGATTCTCCAGGCTTTGTCTCGCATGAAACCATAGAAACGTCAGGAGTTTTAAAAAGGCTGTTCAGCTGATGTTCTAAATGCTTTGTGTGAGATAAAAGGCCACATCAGGCTTTCACCACGTCAATATAAGAAATTGTCTAAAAGAAAAACACTACTGAGGAAGTTTACTGGTAACAAAACTAGTGCTTTAAAAAAAGCTTTTAATCAGTCAAAAAGGCGGATTTTTGCCGATTCTCCTAGCCGCTGCAGCGCCTCTCATAGGAGAACTCATTGGGGGATTAATAAACAAATAGATCATGGCTTCACAAAAAACATTCATGGTCACGCCTCAGCAATTATGTCATCTCACAAAGCCCACCATCAGAGACGTAGCAGAAGAGAATCTTGACTCAGAAATTAAATTAATTATGCAGGAGAAGGGACTAACGCCATAGGAGAAAATTAAGAAATACAACGCACTGCTACAGCATTATCTCGCTCTGGCGAGAGCTGGATTACAAGAGAATTTACAGATTACCCTTTCTCATAACAGTCTCACACTCGTTCCTAAGTGGTTGTACATTTTAATAATATCCGGGACTAATCAGAGCTCTGTTCACTTTCTCAGGTTCGCTCATTCTTCGCCATTCGATAAAAGCACGATCGTTCGGTAAATTAAACCAGGAGTGGATGTAGGTAATTTCTGTTAGCCCTACTTGCCGCCTGCCATTCAGATTGATGTGACGCACGAGATCGGTTCTGTAACTGGAAATTGTATTATTTTTAACACATCAGCACTGGCGTTACAGGGCAATGTGATATAAAAACCCTCCTCCTGTCTCAGATCCATATGTTGTTTTATTTATTGTCTCTGTTTTTAAACATCATGTAGGTCTGAGGCTTTATCTGATTGGCCTAATGAACTGTCCTGAATTGGAATGTTTATTATGTGAAGTGCCTTGAGACGACTCTTGTCATGATATGGCGCTATATAAATAAACTTGAATTGAATTCAATTGAATTTAATCCAACTGGAAAATTTCTGGGGCCAGCCGACCCTCTTAACAAAAACTTGCCTCTGCCCTCTGAATGTTCGGCGTTTAAAAACTTTTTCAACGTGGAAGGATCTCTCGGTCGAATGGTTTACTTTCTGCAACTCGGCTTCATAAAATGACCCTTCAATTTTTTCCCCATCAAAATCTTTGAGTTTATAAATCGGTGGCGATCGATGAAGACACTCATCCACTGTGAACAGTTCGTGTGAGAAACTCTGCTCACATTTTTTTTAATCAAAAACACCCCTGAGTTTGGAAATTCTCACAATGTCTCCCCTCTTAAACTTCATTTTCTTGAAGAGTTAATACGAAGTTGTTACATAATCCTTGCAATAAAAAGTTCCAATCTTCTGGTTAAAAGTACCCAAAAATCCATAACCCCCAAATTCCACTACCTCCGCTCCGCTCCGCTCCGCTCCGACACGAACGCCGGAGCAAAATCGGTCCCGTTGTAGTCAATCAGAGCAATTCCACTACTGCGGCCGTGCTCCGGCAGTGTGGCGCCGCGCGCCGCCCTCTGTTCCGGCGTCCGGCAAAAATAGAATCGATCCTATTTTCGCCGGACGCCGGAGCACCTCCGCAGTAAATGGACAGAAATCACAAACGCCCAACAGGAAAAGGAGCGAGCACAACTTCCGTTTTTCACAATAAATCGATAAACAAAAGGCGTTTATTGTTTCATATGCACAGGTTTAACAACTTTTAACAACTATCAGTGGCGGCTGAAGTTTAAATGCACAAAAGTAAGCCATAAATACAGTTTCCACTATCAAAGTAGTCACACTTTGTTGATCCAAACATGGCTGATCTCTCAACACAAATGATGGGCAGATTAAACAGTTCATTTCGATGCTTCTCCCACACAACGGGTGTTTGGATATAACTTCCGCGTTTATTGCTCGGACTGTATCGCAAGATCTCGAAAATCCCGCGCATGCTTGTTTGCCCACCTCAGGTCTCCGCACCGGAGCGGAGCCGTTGTAGAGCGGGTACCAAGAAAAATTGAGTTCGGAAGCGAGCGGCTGCAGAAGGCGGGGGCGGACCGGAGCGGAGGTAGTGGAATTTGGGGGTAAGATTGATTTCATATTTACTATGGAATATTATGTCTTATGGTTCATTAAATAATATGTAAATTAAATTCTTACAATGGTTATAATAAAAAAGACAACTTGCAGAAGAGACAACGTACCCCCCACAGTTCACTCCTCCACCACCGCAGCCAGTGCATCCAGGTCAGCTTTGGTCAGGCAACCGTACACCGGAAAAATTTCTTTGTGAATGGGCATCACAGCCCTGAATCCATGCAGCTGCATCACAGCCATGGCGAACAGGATCTCAGCATCCAGCGGCTGGAAGCCGTGCAGACTGAGAAAACTTTGATGAGCCGGGATCAGGTTAGGTGTTAAAATCCAGCGAATAATGTCCGTAAAGTGAAAATTGTAAAATAATTCATTTTCAGCTACGTAAAGACATTCGTGTTGTCGCTGACTGGGGTGATCGATCTTGCATCCGTGGCAGATTATAGGTAAGTAAGCTTTCATCGCCATGTTGACCAAGTGAAGAAGCCCCATCTTCACTCGGTCCACCTTGTCTTCTGAAAACACCCAGTCAGGCAGACGCTGAGGCTCCTCACCGGTGCTCTGGATGTCGAGGGTCTGCTGCTGTTGCACACCGTCCTCCTCCCGAGCAGGTTGAGGTGAAACCGGTGGCGGGTCAGTGATTGATGTCACTGAAGGTTGTGCAGTATCAGGACTCGCCGGAGTCTCGTTGATCCAGGGTCGGAATGGTACATTAGCAGGAACCTCCATGATTGTGGGGAGTCGTGGGAAGTTATCCTCTGGAAAGCATGATGGGGTGGCGCCGACGTGGGCCACGGACTGCCGTTGTATCTCGGTGGTGATGAAGCCACTAACACCCAGCTCGGTTGTGGGGAAAAGGTCCATGGTTCATCAAGGGCTGACTGAGTGTAGAAACCCATCTTGCTGATGTGCTAGATCATCTGGGATGAAGTGGTTTGTAACTGAGAGCTCTTTATAACTAGTGATTGGGGGGGGGGGGGGGGGGGGGGGGGTGATGCGACCACCGCTCCTTCTCCTCCTGATGCGGGGCTTAGAATTTCAGCTTTTTTTCGCACTGTCAGAATGTCTTTCCAGCAGCGGCTGGTACGAAGAAGTGAAGTGATACGATCCGCCACTTCATCTATTTTCTTACACCAGGCCTCTAAAGGTACAACCTGTAAAAGGCGGTAAATACCGCATTCAGCACGCACATTTTCCAGCACAAAAAAGAGCTCCAATCCTCTCTCACGGACCGAGGCCTTGAACATCCACTGCCCGTCCGCATCCTCCAGCCCCTCCCATGAAGCGCTATCACGGCGTTCTGGATTTCATCCAGCGATGGAAGAGCTTGAGGCCTGTTGCGTTTTACAGCCGGGCGAGGTCTCTCACGATCATCTTTGTACACCCTGTGTGGAACTGCGAGGTTGAGCACTGCCCAGTCATTGTAGGAGAGATCTGCTGAATGTGATGAATATGGTTTCAGAGGTTCGTCCTCAGCCACATCTCCTTAGAGTCATAGCTGAACCGGTACCTAAAACTACAGGTATAGCCGTAAGGTTCCAGCGGCCATATTTGCTCCAAGAACTCTTTACCGACAAAAGGAGGAAGTTGCACTCTACACATGTAAAATGTAGATTTGCGGGGAGCACCACCCCCTGCAGGCAGCTGATGGATCGCTATGGATTTTTCACAGAGCAAGGTCTGTATCCACGCTCTCCTCTCGGTTAGAGGTTGAAGCATTGGTTGTAGACGCTTCTTCCATCTCCTCTTGGCTCTCCTCTTTCAACTCCTTCTCTTGGGCAGAGGCTGTAGACTCTTGCTTCATCATTTTCTTAGAGGTGTTTCTTCAGCCTTTCACCATTCTGATACGATCTCAGTCTGTCCGCTGAAATGGAACCGAGCTTTGAAAAGCCAAGCAGGGCTGGAGGGAGGGCTGTGGGCTCTCACGTATGAAAGGAGGGGGTAACACAAAAACAGTTATCAGGCGTAACTAAAATAGTTCAGACAAAAGGAGACTTCATGCGTCATTACACAACATTCATTTCTTGACATATAGGGTGCACATCAAAGCAGATCATCATTATGCATCTTCACAAAAAGGGACTTCATGCACCATTACACAACTATCATCTTGACATATAGGGTCGTTAAAGATCATATCACAAAAGGGACTACAGACAATGCACCTGTCAAGTTTGACGAAAGGTGGGTTGGGGGAAAGGGCATAAAGGTCATAAAACAATACACCTGTCAATTTGATTTATGGTGGGAAAGGTCATAAAGGTCAAAGAACAATAGACCTGTCAAAAAGTTTGACGAAAGGTGGTGTGTTATATCTCTGTCATGCTAGATCTTACATTAAATAAACAAATGTCTTTTCACCACATCCCAGTCTACCTCATAAACCTGGTGAAGCTCAGGACCAACGTCTTGTTCCCCCCTCAGATTGTGATGGATGGTGAAATTGGGTGGAGGGAAGATGACTTTGTCCGGACGTGAAACTCTGTAAGAAGCAGAGTCCTGTCAGCCACAGACATGCTATACATTATGATATAAGTGGTGATGATGTGGAGGAAGATGCCTCACCCCTGCAGAATGACATCAGCCACAGCAGCAACCTCCAGCTCAAACAGCACCACCTCACTCTCTGAGTTGTTGGTGTTCTTACTTCAAACACAGATTAAAAACAGTTGGACAACTAACAAGAATTTAAACATGCGATCAAATCTCAAAACTATTTTACAAAAAAGAAGACAGTGATTCAAGAAATATAACAAAATTACATTTCATACTGATCCTCCATCCATCAGTTATTGGAGGTAACGGGTTCAGGAGGGATGCTCTAAACATTCCTCCTTCAGACTACGCTGGAGAATTCCACCAGCCTCCCAAACCAGAGTGGATATAATCCCTACATTACAGGAAATTCACCAGAGGCAGTCGATCTGAAGGCAACTTAATCAGATGCAGAGGAGCAGCAGCTCTACTCTGATTTCCCCCAGATGATTGAGGCTAAACCCGTCCAAGGGAACCTTACAGCCTCTGGGTGAAGAGGCTCAACCCAACGGGAAATATATCACTTACTTCCAACTCCCACCTATAGGCAGATATTTAAAGTGTTGCTGAGAGGATGACCTCATGTCCTAAAACCTTCTGGACTCTGCCTTTAGAGGGTGTTTGTTCTGTTTCCACCTTAACGTCCAGTTTCCACTTGGATGTCTAATTTCTAACTGTGGTTTCTGATTGGAGTTACATCTTTGACAAGATACATTTCTATTCATCTTAAATCCATGCTAATGAACTTTTTCATATTTTACTGAGTATGTGCTTCAGAGACCCTTTAGGGTAATGAAATGTCCCTCAGAACTTCAGAGTGGCAGACCGCCTCCTAGTGGACTTAGTAATGTGGAGCTGCCATGCCTGGTGCTGCAGGCTGCTTCCAGCACGTGTTCTGCATAATTTAGATCCCGAACACAGCTGATTTGTTTAATTTAGGGATGAATCGCTCCTGTAGACACTAAGGAAGGCTGGGAGACATTTCAGCTGTTAAAAACAAACACTGAGGGGTGCTAAAAGCAAACCAAATTTTATAAAAATGTTCTCATGACAACAGTTTTAAATCGTATTAGTTTGAAATAAATAAATAAATAAATAAATAAATAAATAAACAAATAAATAAATAAATAAATAAATAAATAAATAAATAACTTTTCGGGCTATAATTAGAGCAGCGGGCTGACCTCGCCGTAGGGTCATTCATCAGTGAGCCAACCAGGATCAACCTACCTTCGTATCTGGAGCTCAAACTGAACAGAACTCTGAGTGTCCTCCAGCCTGGGCACAGTAAACCGAAGACCGGCCCATAACTGCACACACGAGAAAGGAAAATAGCTCCATTTTCTCACATTTCACTGCAGAAACAAACTTTTTTCTAACAAAAGTTGAAACAATAAAAGCTTTTCTCTTCAGATGCACACAGGACTCACACATTTTATCGGGTCAGTATCAAAACATGTTGAGTTTGTTTGTGCATGAATGCTTAATGTTGACGTGGTTTAGTTTTACTGACACAGACAAAGTGAATGAGTCCAACAGCAACATGGGAGTTATTGTAGCTCTTACACTGGTACCGGACTTCATGGGGTTCCCCAGATCACACACCAGATAGCGGGTCTGGTTGTCTGCCTCGTAGCTGCACGCCAAATGAGTCAGACTCTGGAAAAGACGTCCAGTTACAACCAACACTCACTTATCAGTAATTTTAATATTTTAGCATAAAATTTAGATGACTTAGCTCAACATTTAAAAGAGAAATAAAAGTTTCTCTAAGTGTTAGCATTGACTGCAGGGTGCCTCACCACGTTGTTGCGTGCTATCCCGCTGTAATCAGCCTCTGGGGGCCACGCCACATAGAGCTCAGCCTCATAAGCCCCGCCCTCTCCCTCGTTCCTGGCATTAAAGGTCAAGCTCAAGGTGTTTTCATCCCCCAGGTAGACCTCTGCTCTGTCACTGAGGAACGAGAAGCACAGCGTCACAACAAAGAAGTTTCTCATAGAAGCAGAACTGACCTCATACCCGTCAGACAGAAGTAGCTTCAGCAGAAACAAAAGTTAAATACAAAAACTTTCTTTGTTAAAAATTATACATCTGAAAAAAAAGTGAAAAAAACATCTTCAACCTTTAGTTTCTACTGCTGTCAAAATCCTCTAAATAAATGAATAGTTGTGCATTTTTACATATAATAGAAAAAAACATTTTCTGTGATGTTTGTTTAGATCAAATGTTCAAAACGTCGTTTTATTATTGGGAATTAATTAATACAATGTGGAAGAACATAAACGACAGAACTGTTAAGTGAGGAAGTGCAGCACTCGGACCATTTTTGGGGGAGCACTATGGGCAGGGGTCACGTCTGAAGAAACAGTTCACCGTCATTTAAACCCAGCAGAGACCGGTGTTGTGTCAAAAAGTGCCCCTCCTGGCCATGATTACAGAAACAGGGTTTATGTGGTTACCATGGTGACCCTAATGCGCCACTGACAGCAGTTTCTTACACAGTGAACGTATTAAAATGTAGACGTCTGAGATCACTAGTTTTTTTGGGCAGTCGTTCTATTGGCACTCTCCAAAACCTATCCATAAAGTTTCTAGTTTCTTTGTATTTTGCTCGATGAATTCAAAGAGAACATGTTGCCCCTTTAACCTTCTGCCGAGCGTGAGTCTGACTCCTTCTCAGCTCAAAGCGAGTCTCCACGTTGACCTTTCTGCAGCTGTAAGTGCAGCTCCGTGTGTCGGAGCAGCTGTGTGTCTCAGAACATCAGCCTCCACAGCTGCTCTGTTCTGTAGTTTCCCATTCTGAGAGCGGCATCGACCTGCTGCAGTAAATGTGACTGAGAGCAGCAGCTCGTTTACAGATCATGTTCTAGTGCTGTTTATTTTGTGCTGCGTCGGTTTGAGAACACGTACGATGTAAAAGGTCATGAAAGCCACTCCTTCCAGACAATGCATCTTTGTTTCAGACGCTCCCCGAAGACCATCTGTCCTGGGAAACAGCCTAAATGTGATTTGTCTCAGGAAATAGACCCCGACGTTCACAGCCATGTTTCTGTGTGCCAACACACTTTCAGTGTATCGATAAATCCTGTCAACGCCCTCCGACTCCCACCCTCCCCCGTCTCGGTGGAAATAAATTCATGAAAGGGGAAGAAAGAAGTGTGTGGAGAGTCTGAACAGGAGCTCTACTTTCATTCAGTTTCCTCACGTCCCCTAACACCCCCCCCCCCCCCCCCCCCCCCAAAAAAAAAGAGAATTCTGGACGCAGAGACCCCTCTGGAGGTAAGTTAACCACCAGATGATTTTAATCAGGGCAAGGCGAGTCGAGGAAGGAATAGGACCAACCATCTACACGTGCTGAGGACAGAAACCGCAGCACACCACAGAGGTGTTACATCACGCTGGATTTTATTTGTTGAGAAAATACTAAAGTGAATCAGGAAGCTGGTGAAAGTAAATCTAATTGTGTCTGTGGAATGCTGGCGAGCCACACTGACCTGCTGTGTCTGTGTCAGCAGAGGGAAATTGTGTTCAGCAAAGTGCTGAATCATTTTGTCCTGAGGCAACTCTAAAAAAAAATCTTTGTGTTGGGAAACTTTTAGTCCTGATTTTATTCCTGCAGCTAAGAGAAATCACATGGAAACGTGACACAAAGCACCGGTCCTGACAGAGGAAGGCAGAGTGTTTATGAGCGGGAGTCACACTGAACAACGGCACTCTGGTGTCCTTCTTCAAATAAAGCAACCATCATTAACCATGATGAGATGGCGCCAGGAGTTGGGAATTCCTGCAAATCTGGAATTCTGCAGAGTAAAGCTGCAGAATGACTTCCTGGATTTGAAATGGTTGCTCTTTAAAAGTAGAGCTGTGCGGTTTATCATACGTGTAACTCAACATCAACTCTGGCTTCTAACAATCGCAAAAAGTAAAGAATAAAAAGATTATTACAATTATGGGTATCGGTAAAAGTTAACCGATACCGATGCAGTTGCCAGAAAGTGGCTTCACTGTAACTTGTCATTTCTGTTCACCTAATATTTTAGTTTTGTGACAATTTCTATTAATATATTTTATTTTTTATTTACCTCACAGTCGTTTCCTGTTGAAAGCAGAGGAGAAAATAAAACCTGTATACCAGTTCATTGCATTTTTGTGTGTGGTAGAAGTATCAGTACTTGTAATCAGTATCGCCGAGTACTCAGATCCAAGTATCGTATCTGTTTGGAAAAAAGTGGTATCGGTGCATCCCTCTTTAAAAACGTTACTTAATGCATTATTAAGCATAAGTAAACAAAGGATCCTTTTATTAACGTTCCTGATATTGTTAACTATTAAGTGTCCTAAAGGTTAGAACAAAGGGCCAGGGTGTGTGTGGGTGTGTGTGTGTGTGTGTGTCTGCTTAGCAATGCATTACTTAATATTAACATTAAAATTAAGCAGTTGTTAATACTTTATTCAATAGTTTATTAATGCTTGATAATGCACTAAGAAACGTTGATAAACGGACCCGTATTATTAAGTGTTACCAAATACTGTGAGCATCAGAAGGCTCTGATGGTCACATGTGGGGATTTGGTTGTTTTCATTGTGTTTCATAAAGGAGGTTAAAAGATCTTCTTTCAAAGGCTGTTTGTAATGTTTTCTCTAACTTTAAGAAAACAAAATATGGACATTTCTTTCTTCTCACCCGTAAACATCCAGCTTGAGATCCGGAACACAGATGTTGTCCTCTCCACAGTCCAGCTGGATCTGAGCCTGGCAGGAACAGGCAGAAGGACACGGATTAATGCAAGGAGACAACAGGAGTGGCTGCTAAAGGAGGAAGCTCTGGGAGGAGATGGACTGCAACAACCAGACGGCTGAACGTTGGCTCCATTTCTGGTTGACAGAAACCTCTTCTGTACGAGGAAAAGACTAGATGATGAATTCCACCTAAACATTTGTCGCCTTCATAAAAACCTCAGAATACAGTTAAGATAAACCCCTGCTCAGATTTTGGTGACAGGCGACTTTGTGAAAGCTGCAAGTAAAAACACGAACGTGATTTGATTTGGCAGGAGTGATTTCCCACAGGCCTCTTTGATATTTCTGCTTTGGTCAGTCCTTTCTGTCTTTTTTTTAAGCTTTTGTAATGTCAACCATGCCATGTTGTTCTAACATATGGGATGCATTAGACTCAAAGAATGCTTCAGAGAGCAGAGAATCAGCCTGGTGGTGGTTACCAGTGTCTCGCTGGAGATTCTTCTTCAGCTGACTGGTTTTAGGTTTATTCAGGCGGTCATCAGTCACTTAACACCAAACAAACACGAGGACGTTGATGCTTCTCATCTATTTAACTCTTTTAGCTCTTGGACAAGCTGGTTCCCAAAGTCAGAGACTCTCTTGGTCAGCTTGCTTCTCACACCAAACCTTCTGTCAGGAATCTTGGTGTGACCTTTGACCCAGCTCTCACCATGGATTCTCGTGTCGGTTCTCTTGTTCGCTCTTCCTTCTGTCCTCTCAGGAGCATTGCTGAGTCCCATTCTGTCCTGCTCTGAACTTGAGGATGTTATCCACACCTTCATCTCCTCACAAAGGAAGTAGCCTTCTTTGAACTTTCACTAATCAACAAAAGGTTTCAAGAGTCACCCCGACTGTCTTCATAGTTGCAGCATCATCTCTCAGGAATCCTCACTAATTTATCAATAATAATAATAATAATACATTTTATTTAAAAGCACCTTTCTGGTCACTCAAGGACACTGTACAGAATAAAAACACAAATCATTCAGTAAGTAAACATACGTAAACATCAACAAACAAGGCACTCTAAAATTCAAAGTTGATATGTGGTTATGAAGAGGTGAATTTTGAGTTGTTTTTTGAATTCTGTGAATGAGTTAATGTTCTTGATGAGAGGGGGAAGGGAGTTCCAGAGTTTGGGAGCAGTGCAGCTGAAGGCTCTACTCCCCATGGTGCTGAGACGAAAGGAGGGCACAGAGAGGTGAATGGAGGAGGAGGACGTGAGGGAACGGGACGAGGTGACGATGTGAACGAGATCTGTGAGGTAGTGAGGGGCAAGGTTATGGATGGCCTTGAAGGTGAGAAGGAGAATCTTGTAGTTAATCCTGGTGTGCACTGGTAGCCAATGGAGTTGTTTGAGGATGGGGGTTATGTGATGAGAGACGGGAGTTTTAGTAATGATGCGTGCTGCTGCATTCTGAACCAACTGGAGCTTACGGAGGGTTTTCTGAGGGAGGCCTGAGAGAAGAGAGTTGCAATAATCGATACGTGAATGCGATATGGATTGTATTGTAAGGTTAGCCATGTCAAAGGCGAATTTCTGCCTCAATTCGAGGTGGACAATAAAGTTTATCCATCTATCCATCTATCCATCTATCCATCCATCCATCTATCTATCTATCTATCTATCTATCTATCTATCTATCTATCTATCTATCTATCTATCTATCTATCTATCTATCTATCTATCTATCTATCTATCTATCTAACCAGACTATCGACAAGAATAGAAGTAGAGTGGACTTCAGGGGGGGGCGAAGACGATTAATGTTACGAAGATGGAAATAAGCTGACCGTGTGATGCTATTGATATGAGATTGGAAGGATAGTGTGCTGTCTAGTATAACACCCAGACTCTTGACCTGGGGAGAGGGGGAAACTGAAGTATTATCAACTGTGAGAGAGAAACTGTCAAATTTTGAGAGGGTGTTCTTGGTACCAACCAAAAGAAGTTCTGTTTTGTCTGTATTTAATTTCAGGAAGTTTGAACTGAACCAGGATTTTATTTCTTGAAGGCAGGTGATGAGGGAGGAGGGAGGAAGTGCAGAATTTGGCTTACTGGACAAATAGAGCTGGGTGTCATCCGCGAAGCAGTGAAAATGAATATTGAATCTGCGGAAGATATTGCCAAGGGGAAGGATGTACATAATGAAAAGGAGGGGCCCCAGGAGAGAGCCCTGGGGCACACCAGAAGAGAAAGATGAGGGCTGTGAGCGGGAGGATTTGATAGTAATGAACTGAGTGCGACCTGATAGATAGGACTGAAACCACTGAAGTGGGATGTTAGCAATGCCGATGGAAGATAACCTATGGAGGAGAATGGAATGAGATATTGTGTCAAAGGCCGCACTCAGATCAAGGAGAACCAGGATGGATAGTAGACCGGAATCAGCAGCAATGAGGAGATCGTTAGTTATTTTGAGGAGGGCTGTTTCTGTGCTGTGAAGTGGGCGGAAACCAGGCTGGAAGGGTTCATAGAAGGAGTTTAGTGTCAGATGGGTGTGGAGCTGGGTAGCGACTATTTTTTCTAAAACTTTGGAGACAAAGGGTAGGTTGGAGATGGGGCGGAGATTAGTAAAAATGTTAGGATCTGAACAAGGTTTTTTAAGTATTGGAGTAACTGCAGCAGTTTTGAAGATAGAGGGAACAATACCGGAGGAAAGGGATGCGTGTATGAGAGCGGAGACGAGAGGGAGCAGATAGGGGAGGCAGGATTTAACCAAGGCCGTGGGAAGGGGGTCGAGAAGGCAGGTAGAAGGCTTTGACTTGTGGATAATATCTGATATCTCAGAATCACTGGGAAGTTGGAAAATGGAAAATAACTGTGTTGGTTCGGGAGGATCATATGGGGAGGTAGGGGGATGCTTTGGTTGATTACATGGTGAATGTTTATTATTTTTTTGTTGAAGAACAGAAGAAGGGCATTACAAGTAGCAGTAGAGCACATGTGTGGGGGCAGAGTATTGGACGGCCGGTGAATTTTATTGATAATGGAGTACAATGACTTAGTGTTGCCTCGATTGGAGTTGATTAGAAAGTAGTAATACTGTTGTTTGGTTAGTATAATTAAGTCCTTATACTGAGTCATATGGTTTTTATGTAGTTCTTTGTGAATGGTGAGACCAGTTTTTCTGTAGAGGCGTTCAAGCTGCCTGGATATGGTTTTCAGCGACCGGAGTTGAGGGGAAAACCAGGGAGCAGACTGACAGAAAGTAACAGAACGGGTTTTAACTGGAGCAAGGGAGTTTAAAATGTGAGCTAACTGGTCATTGTAGAGAGCAGCCAGGTCATCAGGAGAGGAGAGATTGTCCGGTAGCTGAATATTATCAATATAGGAGGATAAAGTGTCGATAATGATGTCCTTTATATTCCTAAAAGAAATTAGCCAGGTTGGTTTGGTAAAAGAAAGCTGTGTTACAATATTGAAAGAAATAAAATAGTGATCAGTGATGTGGAGATCATCAGCTGCACAGTTAAGAGGGGTGAGACCAGAGCAGCACAGCAGATCCACGCAGTGTCCTTTGGAGTGAGTTGGAAAGTTGATGTGCTGATTAAATCCAAGGCTGTCCAGGCAGGATGAGAAGTCTTTGGTGAGGGGAAGATCGCTGTTGTCCATGTGTATGTTAAAATCTCCCAGCACTATTACATTAGATGAGAGTGTAGATAAATGAGTGAGCAGTACTGAGAGACTTCTGACAGAAAGTCTTTGTGAGGTTTAGGGGGGCGGTAGATTAATCCAATGATAGTGGGGGTAGGTCCATTATGTTTAAAAACCAAATACTCAAAGGAATTAAAATCTGAGACAGACACTGGCAAAACTTTCCAATTCCCGCGATAGATTATCGCGAGACCTCCTCCGCGAGAACTGCGTGGTTATCAGTCATCTTCATTTAGCCGTGCCTCGTGCAGAGTGCAACAGCTGCTGTTAATGTAGACAAATAAATCTAATTTAGCCTGCCAAGCCATCCTACAGTATATGTGAATATGTAGTCTGGCCACGACCCATAACTAGATCTCAGCCATGGGGCGGAATCTGTGGTTGTCTTTCAAACTTTCAGAGCCCCTTCACATGCTCTCACCCCATACCTCGAGTTTCTCGCGCTGAAAAAGCAAGTCACAATGGTACCCCTGCTTACGGTACAATGGAACATGGCTAACAACATGGGGCAATGTGCTTAGGTCTGTTTAGATTTCTAGGCTAAATAAAATTATACATCCATCCATTTTCAGCAGCTTATTTGAAGCCGGATCACAGGGGAAACAGCCTAAGCAGAGAAGCCCAGACTTCCCTCTCTCCGGCCACTTGGGCCAGCTCCTCTGGGGAAATCCCAAGGCGTTTCCCGGCCAGCCAAGCGACATAGTCCCTCCAGAGTGTCCTGGGTATTCCCTTCGGTCTCCTCCTGTTTGGATGTGCCTGGAAAACCTCACCAAGGAGGCATCCCGGAGGCATCCTGACCAAATGCCCGAGCAAACTCAACTGGCTCCTCTTGATGTGGAGGAGCAGTGGATCTACTCTGAGCCCCTCCCGTCTGACCAAGCTTCTCACCCTATCTCTAAGGGACACCCTGAGGAGAAAATTCATTTTGGCCGCTTGTATCAGCGATCTCATTCTCAACCCTCTCAATACGTTTAGTCCGGCGAGGTCTGACCAGCATCCTCCCCCTTATGAAATAAAGTTTTCACAAACCACGAGCTATGCTTTAAGGATTCTGTTTCTAGTTTAAAATAATATAGTCCAGGGTTGAAGAGTGTAGGTATTGTAGTATTGCATTTAAAGCAAAATAAATACGCTTGGGGAGTGGAAATATATTTTTAAATTGCCTTTTCTGAGTCAGAAACTAAAAAAGGGAATTAAATTCAGCTTCTTCTTGTGACTACGGAAGAGGATTAGGGCCACTGAAAATAAAAAATAAGGAAAGAAAGATAATTCTGAAAAACCAAAAATATGAACTTTCTATTTCCCCGCGACTGGA